AAGTTTCTCATAAGGAATCGGTTATTTTGAGTCAACCTAGATTCGATTTTAAATTATGTTTCAGAAAATAATCGGGTCATGTTACAGAACCGGTACTATCATGGCGTATCGCTGAGTTACGGTTCGCATCCAAATTACCCATTCCACATTTGAAAGCCGCTTTCCTTATGTCCCCTTTAGATTAATCCCAGGTGACTACAGTGCATTTTAACTTTCAACCTTGAAAAAATCAGCACGGAGGAGAGCAAAGGGGTGCGGGGGCGCTTAATACAGACGATCTGGAATCCGCTCACTTAATATACCCATCTAAATCGGATCCCGAGTTTCTGGTGATATTCACATTCAAAAGTAAAGACAGCTTAAATTACTGTGGCATGAGCATTTAGAAGAAATGAGATCAAGGAAGGCTGTACAAAATGCGTCTGAATTGCAGGAGGGAAAAAGGCCCTGTGTCACCATCGTCCGCGCTTGCTCCAGTCTTTTGGCTTCCAGCTCAAGCAAGTGGGATCAACGCGCACAAGGCGTTTGGAGATGGCACGCTTGTGTAATTCGAGGTTTTCTTTACTCAGGAAGATTAGGTATTGTCCCTTCACATAGTACAGAACGTTCAGGTAGGAGAGAGTAGCGATCACGTCATCCCTTTTCATGCTTGTACGTTCGACAATTTCACTAAAAATGAACACATACACAGAGCGCATAAGAAAACCAAGGGGGACGAAAATTACGGTAAAATGTTTAGTCTTTCGCCACCAAAGATGAAAATAAAACGGTTTATAATGTGAGGTAGTTGACTAGCGCCTGAATCTTGCCAGGGTTCAGTCTCAGACAGAATTTATCTAGGACAATGGCTGTGCAACTAGGGGCGAATTGCATTTTTTTGCAGGAATTTGAAGGTAGGCGAGGTCGTTGATACCACTGGCATTCAAGACATGGCCCATCTTATCTGGGTGTTTAAGAAGTTACGATATCGTGGATGAAACCAATTTTCTCCAGCTAAAGATGAGTGGGGCAAAAGTACACTGTCAGACGCCGGTATTGAGGGCAAAATACGTGCTCTTAGAGGTTTGTTCGCATTAGCGGATAGCACGTCGGTAAAAAGTTCCTGGATACTTCCAGCATTTACGGCCTTCAAGAGAGCCCTTCCATTAACGGAATAAAACTCTGTAGCCAAGTCGAAGAAAACAATAATCTTCTGCCGGAAGCAACATCGTGCTTTGTCAGGGCCAGAATCGCCCTCATACACTCTTCCTAGTGGTTACGGACGGACTTTTAACAGTTCCGGGAGAAACCCACAAACATCTTCAGGGTTGAGTGATTTTCGAGCTTATGTTTGTTTCGAAAGATATCCGAACATACATTGAAGGAAATCCGTAAATAGCAGAATGCGGTCTTGCAAACTACGAATATAATTCCGCAAGTCTGCAAACAAAGCAGACCGAAAGTTGCAAGTTCACACATCGGCCTCCAGTCTAGGACGTATAAGATGAGAGGCTCTCGCTTTCAGTTATGAGTGCACGCGACGGATAGGGGGATAGTTAGCCACCTGTCAACATTCCCTCATCGTTTCTCTCGAAGGCATTCTGTACGGAAACGAAAGATCAAACACAGTGACGCTTTTTGTGATAGATATGTCGCGGTATAGTTTAATTAACTTATGCGAACAAACCCTGGGTGCACACAGATCGCATCAACATATTGACATCAAAAGAATAACTGGAGCCTCTAATAAATTTACCAACCTAGTTCCACGATACGTGGCACCTCAATATAAAATTCTGTATGCAGCTTAAGATATGAAGGGTATACACCCTTGTATTGGTGATGGACAATATCTTAAAATGGGCTTTTGATAGACGCCGATTTGTAGAACTAGTGAAGTACAAGATAATTCTGACATTTCTTGAGACATCTTGATAAGCCTTATAACCGCAGCCATAGTTTGTCTTAAGCTGTTCTTAACGGCGCTTCAAAATTAATCTGTTCGTTGATGACATAACATTGTTGAAAGTTATTCAAAATACGGCAGATGAAAACCAGCTGCAAGCAAACTTGAACAGGCTCCAGGGCTAGTCAGAGCACTGGTCTTCAATGTAAGTAAATTCAACTTTCCTCAAATCAGTACTTTTAGAGCCTCCAGCCTGAAAATTCACTTGTTAAACGGTACACCACTGCAACAAATTGACAGCCAGAAGGACTTGAGTGTATGGATTACTTTTTTGCTCAAATAAACACTGAACTGCACTAAGAGGGCGAAGTCGGCCAAGTCTATATTGCAACTGATTAGGCGATCCTTTATGGGTTTGAAAAACACGGTTTCTCCAGGATATTTGGAAGCTTCGTTTGGCCGCACCGTACAGTTCAACCGTCGATTTCGACTATATCTACCATGAGCTTCAGCAAGCCGAAGGCAAAGGCGGTGACCAACGCCTTTCCTAAAGGCAACTACCGAAGGACCCCATATTAACCTTCCTCAGAGCGAATGGCCTGGGCTGTTTCTTTTTTCCCGATGATGTTTCCACTCAAGCTAAAACGCCCACTTTTTGCGGTCGTCTCATAAAACTATATCTGGGCAAAGCAAGGATCGGTGGACGCAAGTGTTTCTTCAGTAACAGATTGGGTGAAGCGTGAAACGCCCTGTCCGAAAATATTGTCCTCTCCACCTATATGAGTTCATTTAAGAGCAAACTGGACATCCATCGAGTTTCTCAGTAACAGTTACAAGCAGAAA